GAGCCTGGGGGTGCTGAGTCGGAGGGTGCGGAGTCTGGGGGTGCTGAGCCTCGGGGTGCTGCTTCGTCTGGAGGTCCTGCTGGTGCTTTACCGCGACTGTCCTCGCAACAGCTGCGTGAGTGGCTTGTTCAGCGCCCACACCGTCGGAGTGGAGCTCCTGGGGCTGGCGAGCCTGGAGACGCTGGAGCTGGAGGTGCTGCTGTTACTACTGGAGCTGGAGACCCTACGGAGCCTGGAGCAGCTGGCGCCGGAGGCGCTGGAGCTGGTGTAGCTGGAGTTGGAGGCCCTGGCGCAGGAGGCGCTGGAGCTGCAGGAGCTGGAGCTGTTGACCCTTGAGCTGGAGGTGCTGGAGGCACTGTGCGGCCGCGCCCGTACTTCGTTCCCCTGCTTCAGCAGGTTCTTGGTGTCCCGTCGTCTACTGGACTTCCTCCTCCCTTCCTGTGTCCACCGCCTGACCAGTCGCAGCCGCCGTTACAGCCTGCCTCCCCACTGCCTGTTCCCTCTCCTTACACTGAGCAGTCTGGAGGTCTTGCAGAGCGTCGTGAGCCTGCGTCTCGTCCTGTCTCGCCTGTTCGCACTGCTCGTCGCGCTCCTCGTTGCGTCCTCCTCCTGTCCCAGGCACGCACACCATGGCACTCCGTCCTTCCTCTGTTCCACTGCGTGTTCCTCTGCCTGCTCCTCCTGAGTCCTCTCTTCCTGAGGTCCCTGACCCTGAGTCTGACCGAGCGCGTGCTGCCAGTCCCACTGTCGCTCGTCTCCTCGCCACTGCTTTTACTGACCCGTACTTTGAGTCTGCTGCTGCGTCTGCTCTCGTTGCTGAGCTGCTTGACTTTGCTGCTGCCTACCGTCTAGACTACGCCACTGCTCTAGTTGCTGAGTCTGTGTCTGCCAGTCCTCCGTCCGTCGGGGGTGAGTGTGCTCTTGGCACGGACGTCCTTGAGGACAGGCAGGAGGACTTTGAGTGTCTTGCAGCTGCTGTACCTCGTTTCGCTTCCATGCTGCTTGCCCCTGAGGGAGACCCGGATGCACCAGACATCCCGACCCCGCGCTCTTACGCAGAGGCGATTACGGGTCCTTACTCCTCTCAGTGGCAGGCAGCTATGGATGCCGAGATGGCATCCTGGAAGTCCAGGCACTTACGTCGACGAGGTTCCCCCACCTCGGGTGAACATAGTCGATGGCATGTGGATCTTCAGGGTGAAGCGGCCGCCGGGTTCTCCGCCTGCCTTCAAGGCGCGTTACGTTGCTCGAGGTTTCAGTTAGCGACAGGGAGTTGACTACTTCCAGACCTTCTCCCCCACCCCGAAGATGACTACTCTTCGGGTGTTGCTACACGTAGCTGCTCAGCGTGACTACAAGTTACACTCCCTGGACTTCAGTACAGCCTTCCTGCAGGGCAGCCTGCACGAGGAGATCTGGCTGCGCCGACCACCTGGTTTCACTGGGTCGTTTCCTACAGGTACCCAGTGGAGCCTCCGCCGGCCAGTCTCCGGTCTCCGCCAGGCGCCTCGCGAGTGGCACGACACACTGAGGACTACACGTGCGGCTCTTGGGTTTGTTCCTTCTACAGCAGACCCGTCGCTGTTTCTACGCACCGACACCTCGCTGCCGCCCTTCTACGTCCTAGTGTACGTCGACGACCTCGTCTTTGCCATGGCTGACACTGAGGCACTGACCCTAGTGAAGTCCGAGCTGCAGAAGAGACATACCTGCACTGACCTGGGTGAACTGCGCAGCTATCTTGGCCTGCAGATCACCCGGGACAGAGCACGGCGCACCATCACACTGACTCAGTCACACATGGTGCACCAGGTCCTTCAGCGCTTCGGCTTCCAGTACTCCTCACCACAGCTCACTCCTCTGTCTACCAGCCACTCGCTCTCAGCTCCACCTTCGGACGAGTCCGTAGAGCCGAGTGGTCCGTACCCAGAGCTTGTGGGTTGCCTCATGTACCTGATGACTTGCACACGACCTGACCTCGAGTACCCTCTCAGCCTTCTGGCTCGCTACGTGGCTCCCGGCAGGCACCGAAAGATGCACTGGGATGCTGCGAAGAGGGTATTGCGTTACCTGTGTAGTACGTCGGGCATGGGGCTTGTGCTTGGAGGACGGGGTCCATTTGCCCTCACTGGTCACGCAGACGCCTCCTGGGTAGACGACTCAGCTACGCAGCGGTCATCGCAGGGTTACACCTTCAGCCTTGGGTCCGGCTCGGTTTCTTGGCGGTCTACCCGCTCGTCTTCAGTTTTCAGCTCCAGCTGTGAGGCTGAGATCTACGCCGGAGCCATGGCTGCTCAGGAGCTACGCTGGCTCACCTACTTGCTGACTGACTTGGGAGAGCAGCCTCGTTCGCCTCCGGTCCTGTACGTAGACAACAAGGCTATGATAGCCTTGTGTCAGGAGCACAGACTGGAGCACAGAACGAAGCACATCGCTCTGCGATACTTCCTTGCTCGAGAGTTGCAGCAGCGTGGTCAGCTTCGTCTAGCGTACGTGGCCACTCGGGCCAACACTGCTGATGTCTTCACCAAGGCACGTCCGCCTGGTGACCATCAGCGCTTTGTTACTGTGTTAGGCCTTGTGCCTACTTTGCCTCACTTACTTACTGCCTGACTCTGCCTGTACTGTGATCTGTCTATATACCTGCATGCTTGCACTTGTTAGGGTATGATCACTGTATTGTTTGTTCACTTTATATAACTCTACATGTGAACTGGCCTTGTGGCCCTTTGCTTGTGCTCGGACTGTGTGGTGACTTTGTGATCCACCCTGAGCTTCCTTTGCTTTGCTTTTTCTCTTGACTGGTCTTGTGACCATTGCTTGTTCTGGCTATCCCCCACTTCGCCTATGGGGGTGTGTCAAACATATATTCTTAGTTATATCTAGGCTTAGTTTATGTGTTTACAGTTGTCTAGGCTATAGTGGGTTTAGCCTTAGGGGGTACAGAATTTCTCTCGACATTCTACTTGTACCCCTCCCCCTTTCCTAGTCATTCATTCTCGTCACTTATTCTAGCACTTCGGCTTCCGATACTCCTCGCCACAGTCCACTCCTCTGCCTACCGGTCACTCGCTCTCAGCTCCACCTTCGAACGAGTTCGTAGAGCCGAGTGGCCCATATCCAGAGCTTGTGGGCTGCCTCATGTATCTGATGACCTGCACTCGACCTGACCTTGCCTACCCTCTTAGCATCCTGGCACGCTACGTTGCGCCCGGGAGACACCAACCAGAGCATTGGGAGGCCGCTAACAGGGTGTTGCGCTACTTGTGCAGTACGTCGGGCATGGGGTTCGTACTTGGAGGACGGGGTCCAGTTTTCCTCACTGGACATGCAGACGCTTCTTGGGTTGACGACTTGGCTACGCATCGGTCGTCACAGGGTTACTCTTTCAGCCTTGGCTCCGGCTCTGTTTCTTGGCGGTCTACCCGCTCGTCTTCTGGTCTCAGTTCCAGTTGTGAGGCTGAGATCTACGCAGGGGCCATGGCTGCACAGGAGTTACGCTGGCTCACCTACCTGCTGTCCGACTTGGGAGAGCGGCCTCGTTCTTCTCCAGTTCTGTACGTAGACAACAAGGCCATGATTGCCTTCTGTCTGGAGCACAGAACGAAGCACATCGCTCTGCGTTACTTTCTTGTTCGAGAGTTGCAGCAGCGTGGTCAGTTTCGCCTTGCTTACGTGGCCACTAGTGCCAACACTGCTGATATATTCACCAAGGCACTTCAATCTGGTGATCATCAGCGCTTCTCCACTGTGTTAGGCCTTGTGCCTACTTTGCCTCACTTGCTTACTGCGTGACTTTTCTTATACTGTGATCTATATCTATAACTGCATGCTTACACTTGCTATGGTATAATCACTGTACTGTTTGTTCTCTTTCAGATAACTTTGCATGTGAACTGTCGTTGTTGCCTTTGGTTGTGGTCGGAATGTGTGGTGACTTTGTGATCCACTCCGAGCTTGCTTTGTTTTTCTTAACTGGTCTTGTGACCACTTGTTCTCCCCCATTTTGCCTATAGGGGTGTGTCAAAATGTTATATTGATTACTTTGTGTAGGCTATAGTGGGGTAGCCCATAATGGGGGTGTGTCAAATTACATTTGTATGTGTGGGCTATAGTGGGGTAGCCTCTACTGAGTACAACACTTTAGGTCAAACCTAATACTTGTACTCATCCTTGCTTGCTAGTCAATCATTCTTGCACAGTTGATTCTGACATTTGTTACATTAATAGTTACCAGAACAGGGATGACATTGCAAGAACCAACCATCGTTTCCACGCAAAGGAGAATCTGCGTGTGAAGTGTTGGTTGGCAACACGACCCACACATCTCCTGATCGATCGCCATATCTGTCTGAAAAAAACAACCAATGAAAACGCTCGTAAGCCCCCAAACACAAACACCACGTAAACCACCTTGAACCAGCTCTTGTTGTCCACGTGTACAGTTCGCATCAGCAAAACTAGGTAAATAGAGATAAACGGTGATCCAGTGGGGTGGTCGTTAAAGCCCAAGACCTAAATTACTCAACGGAAGTCAACGGGAAAAAATAGGTTCGGAAGGCAGGCAGACGGAGGTTCGGTTGGGGTGCGAAGCAATTTCACTTGCGAAACCAATTTGCGACAGAAGTCTCTCACGTAGATAACTAGGCATAGAGCATACCTGTAGACATAGCGGGGAATCAGAGGCGCCTTACGAATGTGTGTGGCGCGGATTTCGATGACGACGCCCAAAGATAGTGGTCGCGAGTGTCGAAATGCAGGTTTGAGTGCAAGTGATGCGTAAACTCGCGGCGAATATCGTAGCGTGACCCTTCGCCCAAGCGTGAACCTCTCCTCACCCTCGTTTTCCTTTCCCTAGGTCCCACGCTTCCGATCTCTTTCGCCATCGCTTCCCCAGCTCGTCGCCTTCAAGACCCCAGCCCGATGCCTTCGCGACCCTAGCCCGTCGCCTTCGCTCCGTCCGTCGCCTTCGCTCCGTCCGTCGCCTTCGCTTTCCACGCATGTCGCCTTCACTTCCCCTCCCCCGTCGCCTTCACTTCCCCCCCACCCCGTCGCGCTCAATTCCCCCTCCCGTCGCATTTCCCGCCCGTCGCCTTCGCTTCTCCCACCCGTCGCCTTCCCTTCCCCCGCCCGTCACTCTCGCTTCCCCAGCCTGTCGCACTCGCTTCCCCGCCCGTCGCACTCGCTTCCCCGCCAGTCACACTCGCTTCCCGCCCGTCGCCTTCACTACCCCTCCCATTGCCGTCCACTCTCTCCTGCCCACGCTCTCCCCCCCGCTCACTCTCTGCACAACCCTTCCCCTCTCTTCTCTCCTGTACACTCCCTTTCCCCCTGTTCTCACCCCTCTCTTTCCCCCTTCACTCAACCCTTTCCCCCTGCTCACTCTCCTCCCCCCTGCTCACTCCCTTCCCCCCTGCTCACTCTCTTCCCCCCTGCTCACTGCTCACTCTCTTCCCCCCCCTTACCCTCTTCTCCCCTGCTCACTCTCTTTCCCCCTGCTCACTCTCTCCCCACCTGCTCACTCTCTCCCCCCCTGCTCACTCTCTCCCCCCCTGCTCACTCTCTCCCCACCTGCTCACTCTCTCCCCCCCTGCTCACCCTCTCTCCACCTGCTCACTCTCCCCCCCTGCTCACTCTCTCCCCCTCTGCTCACTCTCCCCCCCTGCTCACTCTCTCCCCCCCTGCTCACTCTCTCCCCCCCTGCTCACTCTCTTTCCCCCTGGACTCACCCATCTTTCCCCCCTGTTTACTCTCTATTCCCCTTTGTTCAACCTTTTTTCCCCACACTCCCTCTCATTTCCCCTGTTCAGACCCCTCGATTTCCCCTGCTTACTGGCTTTCCCCCCTGCTCACCCCCTTCTCCCCCCTGCTCACCCCCTTCTCCCCCCTGCTCACCCCCTTCTCCCCCCTGCTCACTCTCTTTCCCCTTTTGCTCACCCCTCTGCCCCGTCCACATCCAACCCTCGCTTATCTGCCAAACCCCCTCTTCCCTCCCCGTTCTATCACAGAACCATGCTTGGACAGGTGCCCAGCACCATGAGTCCCAACAGGAATGTGATGGAAAGTTACCGCCTTCTTGTTTTGTGCATTGTTCCTACAGTCCACTGTTGACAACTTTTATATAAGCAATATTATGCTTTGTTCCACCTCTTTGTAGTGGCCATGTGCATGGCTGCTCTGAAGCGAGAATGTTTTCTTATGAGAAGCGTAAACATCAATACATGGCATGGCTACCTATTTGTCCTACCGCTATCATCAAACAGCAAACGCCTCACAACTGGATGCATGGCAGACCTGCACTAACACGAACCACTAATTTTGATGTGTCATATGTTGAAGCAGCTGGGGGGGGTACCGTACAAAACAATGACAATCGGAGGGCAATCTCCTTGAATACACAAACAGGCTGAAGTGTACAGGCGTGGAAGGGAAAGGGGGGATGGGAGGATGTGAGGAATTCAAGTAGGGAGTAGGCAAGTAACTGGGTCTTCAGTACGCGAACCAGTTCTTCCGGCTGATCAGCACCCTCTTCGACGCGTCGACGGGGGACGTCGTTACCGACCTCTTTGCCGGTCGCAACTGGGTCGAGGATTCGCGCCTCGCGCCGGTTCTCGCACTGCGCTCCGAAGGCAACTGCAGTGAGTGTGGGCCGCAGCGGCGTACTGGTTCTCGAGAAATTTTCGAAAGGCAATTGCACACGCCGGCACGCGCTGGCACGCGGCGCCAGCGAGCACACGCAGAGAACAGCGCCATCACGCAGGCGGGGCGCGCGCATGTGCTTGCTTATCCCACAGACGAACCATTTCTCAGTCCTCCACTTTCGATATCCCCCATACCCGACCCCCTTTCCCCCTCCCCCCTCCCCCTCCTCCTCCCCCCCCCCCCCCCCCCCCCCCCTTCCGCCTTTCCTTCCCCAGAGTCATCATGGGCCATCACTGCAGTGAGCGCAGTGGAAATGGCGTACGCGTTAGTGGTTGACTCGACGCCCTCCATGGATCCCCCCCAGCGCATCTCAGTGTAGCAGGTGCGGAACTCACTACCAAAGCACGGGCTTTAACCTCAGCAATTACTACTGCGGAATTACTATGCGTGCTTATACGCGCGCAGCTTATACCGTGTACGCGTAGCTTGTACCTAACAGCAGCAGCAGCAGTAGCATCAGGATCTTGATTGCAATCTCACTAACAGGCACGCCGTACCTTCTGTACTCTCTAACCCCTCAGGTGCTGGACTGCAGGAACAGCAGCAGCAGCAGCAGCCGCTGCCGCCGAACCCCTCCCCTGCGCATTATTCATCCTTCTCCCGCGCTTTAACCACCCTTCCCCCCTGCCGTTTTCCCACACTCCTGCCGTTTTCGCACACCCGTCAGGTGCTGGACTGCAAGAACAGCAGCGGCAGCTGTGCTGCGGGCGGGTAGCTTTGGACTACATAGTGGATGCCACACGGCACTGGAGGGGCAGCTCATCGCCACCTCTCCTCCCTCTCCCCCCACCTCAATCATTCCGTCAGGTGCTGGACTGCACGAACAGCAGCAGCAGCTGTGCAGCGGGCGGGTGGCCGACGGCAGCGCTGGACTACATGGTGGATGCAACAACGCAGTGGGGGGGGCTCGCCTGCGAGGCTGGGTACGCGTACACGCAGAAGGACGGCAAATGCAACCGGGGAAAGGTACGCATGGGGGAGGTACGCCTGGGGTAGGTGCGGCTGGGGAAGGTACGATGCAGTGGGTGGGGGGGGCTCGCCTGCGAGGCTGGATACGCGTACACGCAGAAGGACGGCAAATGCAACCGTGCCAAGGTAAGTCGAGTGTGAGCAATTCTGCCTGTTTAAGCCTTGTGTGGGGGCAATGTTTTCTTAAAGGCTTCGAGACAACAGCATGTTGCGCAGCTGCACTGCCAGTGCAGTCGCACAGCCAGTGCAGTCGCACAGCGTGGTTCATTTCGTCGTGTACGGCCAATACTTGGTACACACATCAAAACGCATCATGACTGCGCGCGTCTTTGTTGCGAGGCTCCTGTTTGTTCGCGATGACACCTAGCTGCTTGTGAGCGCAGGAGAGAGAGATGAGCCGTTGCTTGCCATGCACCTATGCCTGCCCACGCGCCCATTCCCTTATGCCAATGCCCATGTGCCCATTCCCTTATGCCAATGCCCATGTGCCCATTCCCTTATGCCAATGCCCATGTGCCCATTCCCTTATGCCAATGCCCATGTGCCCATTCCCTATCTCTCCCCACAGGCAAAGCAGCAGGCGACGGCCATGGGCATCACGGGGTACGACCAGGTGGACTTCTACGGCTGGCTCGGCCTGCTGCTCGCTGTCAACGTAAGCTTAAATGCTGAAACCGGTCACCGATTCTTTGCTTTACACCGTGTCTACAAAAAAAACATATTTTCTTCTTCTACCCATAGCAAGTCGCTGCCACGTTAGTTCTCGGCAAATACTGGTGTGCAGCAGGGTACGACCAGGTAACCTTCTACAGCTGGATTGGCCTGCTCTCTGTCAGCGTAAGCCTCGCTGCCAGCCATGGCACATACTGGTGTGGTGGACTTGTACGGCTGGCTCGGCTTGCTTGGCTTGCGTCTTGCTGTCAACTTAAGGCAAGATGCTCATGCACCACAGGTCTACAGCGGTGAGATGCTGCTGGAAGTGCAGGCGGCAGTGCAGGTGGCAGTGTGAAGGCGGCAGTGTGCAGGCGGCAGTGTGGAGGAGGCAGTGCAGGCGGCAGTGGAAAAGTTGTGTGCATGAGGCGTGATAATAAGCGTTCATGCCGGAGTGGTTAACGGGACAGACTCGAAATCTGTTGGGCTCTGCCCGCGCAGGTTCGAATCCTGCTGAACGCGCTCTTTGCTTCGGGCACTTTGACGTGAAGCCATGTGGAACTTGTTTATGCGGTGCTGCACTTGGCAGCCTGTCAGAATGCAGGATGCTTGATGTTCAGTTCAATCTCTGTGGCGTAATGCAAGCAAATTTTGGGTTTTGTGCACACAGTTAAAACTTCTCAGCAGGAAGCAGCAATTGAATTTGCCTTTCTGTTTCCCCTCCGCCCACTCTTTCCAATCCGCCCATTCCTCATCTCCCCTTCTTTCCTCCCTTCTCCTCTCCGTCCCTTTTCCTCCCCTCCCCCTTCCCTATCCTCCCCACCACGATGCCCCCTGTCGCAGGTTCAACCCACCATTGCATTCGTGCGAGGCTCCTACCCCTCCTTCCAAACCTACACAAATGTAAGGGAAGCAATTCATTGGTGTGAAGTCTATTCCAAGGCTCTTACTCCTCCTTACAGTCCTACTCAGAGGTACGCAGAGCAGTGTGTAGCTGTAATCTGAGTCGATTGACGGCTTCTTACACCCCTCTTCTGAGGCGACTCAGATTGACTTCTGAGTCGACTCAGATTGACTTCTGAGTCGACTCAAAAGTGTGTAGCTGTAATCTGGGTCGTCTGAGGGCTTCTTACACCCCTCTTCTGATTCGACTCAAAATGGCTTCTGAGTCGACTCAAAATGGCTTCTGAGTCGACTCAAAATGGTGCTGGTGATGGGGTGGTGTGAGAGGTACCATGCACTGCACTCTCCTCATCCTTCCCCTTCCCAACCTCTCCACCTCTCCTCCCCCAGGGCTTATACTGGGACCAGGGGTGTGCGGCAGCGGGAGTGGTGGATCACAGCGTGGCTAGTGGTGGGGTAGTGTGAGAGGTACCATGCATTTCTCTCTCCTCACCTTTCCCCTTTCCAACCCCTCCACCTCTCACCCTCCACTTATCTCTCTCCACTTCTCTCCCCCCATTTCGCCCCTCCACCTCTCACCCCCCCAGGGCATATACTGGGACCAGGGGTGTGCAGCAGCGGGGGTGGTGGATCACAGCGTGGTGGTGATGGACTACAGCATCTCGTCGGACGGGGCTTACTGGATCATCCACAACTCCTGGGGAAGCAAGTGGGGCATGCAGGTGGGATGCTTTCGAGAATTCTCCAACTTGAGTCACTTTTGAGAATTCCTATCAGCGTGCTGGTGCGGTGATGGGGATGGGCTACAGCTTCTCGTTGCATGGGGCCTACTGGATCATCCGCAACTCCTGGGGGGCAAAATGGGGCATGCAGGTGGGATGCATGCAGTTGGGATGTGTCCTGTCGCGTGCTTGGCAGGCAGGTGTGCGCTGCATGCTGTTTGTTAACCTTATTGGGATGCGCCCCCGTGCTTCTAGTACCTCGTGTGTAACCTCATACTACTCAAAAGGTAGTTTATTTTTGTGTTGCAAGAAAGCAAAAGCGACCTGCAAGAGAATACCAAATAACGCTCTGTGCATGCGTTCTCCCTTGCTCTCCTTGCTCTCTCTCTCTCTGCGTGCAGGGCTACATGCAAATGGCCTTTGGGGGAGGCACGGGTATCTGTGGCATTCACTTGGTGCCAGCCATCTACCCTGTTATTAAGAGTGAGTCAACTATGTGTACGCGCATGCACACACACACGTACCCACGCACACCCACGCACACACACACACTCACACACACGTACACACATACACACACACACACACACACATACGCACGCACGCACGCACGCACGCACACGTACGCACGCACGCACACGTACGCACGCACACGCATGCACGCACACTCAGGGGGGGCACTGGCATCTGTGGCATTTAATCGGTGCCAACCCTCTACCCCATCATCAAAAGTGGGTTGCCCTCCTCGCCTCTATGCACTACACATGTGCACACATGCACACACCTATGCATGCACGTGTCTGCATTCGCTCTTTTGAAGCACCTCACCATCCCTCTCCCCCCTTCCCCCTTCCCCCCCGTCACCAGCACTGTCGCCATGCCTGTCACCGCAGAACCCATGTGGGCGAGGCACATGTGATGTCAGGAGGACATAGGGGGTGGCTACGACACTTACACGTGTCTGGATTCCCAAGTTTGACGCGCCTCACAAGTCCCCTCCCGTTACCCCCCAAACGCACACCAGCACCCTCGCCGTGCCTGTCACCGCAGAACCCATGTGGGGGAGGCACATGTGAGGACGCAGGGAACGGCGGCTACACATGCACGTGTTTGGATTCGCTTTTTATTGCCGTTGCTGACAAAGGCGGCAACCAGACGTGTGTGTTCGGTGAGTGGCGCGCAAACGAAAGTGCTTGGTTGGTGGTGTGAATGGCGCATGGGCGGGTGCAGCTGCTCTTTATTCCCGCTCCTGACAGAGGTGGCTCTCACATGTGTGTGATTGGTTGGTGAGTGGTGCACAAACGAGAGTGGTTGTTGTACCCCCGCACCCCACACCCAACCCCCTCCCCTCTGCACCTCTCCTTCCCCCTGCTTCCCCCCCCCCTTTCACGCGCCCCCTGCCAGCTGACGTGTGCAGTATGCAGGACGACAATCCGTGCTCCTAACAGAAGCTCCCCCTCCCTCCCTCTCCCTCCCACCCCCCCACCGCCCATTCCTTCCCATCCCATGCACCTCCGCCCCTCCCCCCTCCCTTCCCCCCGCCCTTGCCCCCCCGCCCACCCACGCGCCCCCTGCCAGCTGACGTGTGCAGCATGCAGGACGACAATCCGTGTGCGGTCGGCACGTGCATCAACGACAATGCGGGCGGCTTCTTTTGTCTCTGTCCGACGGGATTCGAACAGGGGTACCGGCCCAACGGCGCTCACACATGCGTCCCAAGTAGGTGTTCAAGCGGGCGGCTACTCTTGTCTTTTTGGGATTCATATAGTTTGGCGAGCCACAGCAAATCATATCTATCTCATCCCTGAACAATGGTTGCACCTTTTGACGTTTGATTCGACTCAAATGTCATCTAGCAAGTCGTATTCATCCCATCCCTGAACCATGGTTGCACCTTCCTCTCCCTTGTGTTCTCCTCGCATCTCCATCACCTCTCCTCCTCTTTCTCGCCTCTTTGCATCGTGCTTCTCACTCACATATCTGCACTAATTCGTCCACCCCCCCTCCCCACCTCTTAACCCCCTATCACCGTTCCCCCCCTCCACCCCGCTTCCCTGCAGCCATCTACCCCAGCTACACCATCTCCTTCCCAATAGGCATCGACTGCCCGCTCATTCCCCCAAACTCTAGCCTCTCACGTCTTTCTCCGTCTCCACCCCGTACCGTATGTCCCCCCCACCACCCCCCCTTTCTGCAGCCATCTACCCGAGCTACACTGTCTCCTTCCCAATAGGCATCGACTGCCCGCTCGTCTTCCCCATTCCCCAACTCTGGCCTCCTGTCTTTCCCCCTCTATCCACCTCCCCCGTCTTTCCCCACCCACCCCCCTCCCTACAGCCATCTACCCCAGCTACACCGTCTCCTTCCCGATAGACATTGACTGCCCGCTCGTCTACCAGCTCTACGGCCTCACAGAAGAGGCCTTCCTCGCTCAGAACCTGCAGCTGGTGAGCTCTCTCTCTCTCTCTCTCTAGTGACCCGTTTCATCTACCTTTTGAGCTGCCAGCCTGTTCCCTCGCCCCTTCACTCATCTCGTCTACCAGCTCTACGGCCTCACAGAGGAGGCCTTCCTCGCTCAGAACCTGCAGCTGGTGAGTCTTTCCTCTTGACGCGACTTCACCCCTTCCCCCTTCTGAGCTGCTAGCTTGTTCCTTCACCCCTTCATTCCGCTCATCTACCAGCTCTTTCGCACGTTTGGGCTGCTGAATACCTCCTATTCTCCTCACTTCAACCAGCCTCTCCCACACCTCACACTTCCCACTCACCCACCCCACCCCACCCCACCCCACCCCACTCCACCGCACCCCACCGCACCCCAGTCCATCCCACCCAACACACAGATCATGGAGCACTGCTATACCATCCCGGCCAACAAGCAAGTGAGCGTGGCTCCGCCCCTCATGGGGGCGGTGCACTGTATGCTCTACTACTCGTGGACTGGTCGCTGGTGTAACTCACAGACCATCCCACCCCAGTCCACCCCAGTCCGCCCCAGTCCACCCCATCCAACCGCACCCACCGGGGATGGTGCACCTGCGTTCTCCTCACCTTAACCACCCCATCCCACACCTCCCACTCACCCACCCGACCCACCCCACCCCACCCCACCCCACCGCGCCCCACTCCACCCCACACACACAGAATATGGAGCACTGCTATACCATCCCGGCCAACACGCAAGTGAGCGTGGCGCCGCCCCTCATGGGGGCGGTGCACTGTGTGCTATACTACTCGTGGACTTCCCAGGACACGTGTGAATGCGTGGCCGACAATTTCTGGCTGACAGTGGACGATCTGCTGGCGCTCAACCCGGGGATCAACTGCACAGATAGCACCGCCTGGAACGCGCCGTGCGTAAACCAGCAGGTGAGATGCGCTGCAATGTGGTGCAGTGCGGTGCTCGGTGGTGTGGTGAGCACGTTTTGGCTCACAGTGGATGATCTACTGGAGATCAACCCGGGGATCAACTGCACAGATAGCACTGCCTGGAACGCTCCGTGCGTGAACCAACACGTGAGAACTCCAACCACAAGCTTGCCGTGCTGTAACGTGCAGTGCAGTACGATGCTCGGGGGTGTGGCCGACAATTTCTGGCTCACAGTGGACGATCTGCTGGCCCTCAACCCGGGGATCAATTGCACAGATAGCACCGCTTGAACCAGCAGGTGGGATGCGGTGGAGTGCGGTGCTCGATGGTGTGACGGACACATTTGGGTGGGCATTGGATCAGCTTGTGGGGCTCAACCCACTGCTACCCTGCTTTCAGGCTAACCTGATTTTGAGCCAACCTGATTTTGTGCCAACTTGATTTTGTGCCAGCCTTCTCGCTCCCCTCTTTTTTCTCCCCTCATCTCTCTCCCCTCCTTTTTCTCCCCCTAATGCAGCTGTGTGTGGCGAAGGGCAGCGGGGGGGGGGGGGACCTGCCCAAACTGCCCATGTGCATGAATTGGTACACCGTACAGTCGGGGGACATGTGTGAGAGCATCATGAAGGACTATGCTCTCAACCAAACCGCCTTCTTCCTCTCCTCCTTCCCCTCAATGCAGCTATGCGTGGCGAAGGGCAGCGGTGGAAGCGACCTACCCAAGCTACCCATGTGCACGGCATGGTATACCGTATAGTCAGGGGACACGTGTGAAAGCATCATGAAGGATTACGCCCTCAACCAAACCGCCTTCTTCTCACTCAACCCGGGGGTGGGCTGCGACAGCCTCTTCCCCTCCGTCGGGGGCGGTGCCTTCGGCTGGAGTGGCGACGGCGTGCAGGTGAGGGGATGGCGTGCAGGTGTGTGTGTGTGTGTGGATGTCTACCTAGCGGATTCACTTAGTCTTACACAGTACAATACTAGCTGTGTTTTTTTTTTGCTTTAAGCCTAGCTTCGCTACTGCTGCTCCCTGAGAATTATGTCTGAAGATTGCTGGAGTGGCGATTGCGTGCAGGTGTGTGTGGATGCCTACCTAGCTGGTTCCCCAAGCGCAATCACCCCATCTTCCCATCATTAAAATGCACCCATCCATCCTAGAATGCACCTGATGAATGATACACCGTCCACGCCCATCCTCTCTACCGCAGGTGTGTGTGGATGCATACCTCGCGGATCCATCCAGTCCGCTCAAACCTCGCTCAGTCCGCGAGCTTCCCTCCACTTCCCCGCTCCTCCCCTCCTCTCTCTCCTCTCCATCCTCCTCCTTCTCTCCCTCATCCTCTTCGTTCCCAACACGAGGGAGATTGCTCGGCCTTAGCACCACCTCCCACCCATCACCAGCCTCCATGCCTCGCCTCCCAACCCTCATCCCGTCTCACGCCGACCAACCAATGAGAGGTCGCCAGCTGGCGGTGACGAAGCGGCGGTGCCTGGCGTTCTACTCGGTGACGAGGGGGGACTTCTGTGCACGCATCATATCGCTCAAGTTCCAGAACAGTGCGAGGAAGATGGCGGAGCTGAACAACGGATACGTGTGCAACAATGATAGGCTGTATGTTGGGCTGAGCCTCTGCACGCGGAGGTAGGAGGTCCACTTAGTTGGCTTGTAAAGAATTGTTGGGGAGGAAGCGGAAGATGGCTGGGCTGAACAATGAATATGTGTGCAACAATGATAGGCTGTATGTGGGGCTGAGCCTCTGCACGCGGAGGTAGCAGACAGGCTTAGCGGGTCCGTGGTTGGGAAAGAAACGTCAGATGGCGGAGCTGAATTGCGGGTATGTGTGCAACAAAGATAGGTTGCTGTACGTGGTGCTGAGCCTCTGCACACGCCGATAGGAGTGCCTTTCATGTGAAGTTGGCGGAGCTGAACAATGGGTATGTGTGCAACAATGATACCAGGTTGTACGTGGGGCTGAGCATCTGCACGCGGAGGTAGGAGTGAACGAGTGCTTCGAGGCGCCTCAAAAGGTTGTGTGCATGTGGGTTGGTTGGTGGTGGTAATCGTGCCAGAATTGGCATGTCCTTCCTTCCTTGCTTCCTTGTGTGATGCGAAGCCTGGAGGGGTAGACATTGTGTTGTGTTGGCGTGTCTGCTTAGAGTGGAAACGGAATATACCACGTTTTTGCATCTCTCATCGGTCATTCAGAGCGCAGTGAGTGGGGAATAATTTGACCAGATTATTGCAGCCTGGGCCCTTGGCTGGCATTGTGTTGTGAGTGGCTTTCGCAGCCAGAGGATTGTTATGGAAGGCCTCCTTTAGCACATGTTATGGCTTATGTATTCTACATTTGTAATCTGTGTACAATATTGCCTTCATTAACACAACAGTTTTGCTGTGGGGAATTGTGGTGCTTGTTTGGCCGTTATAGAGTGTTTCTGATTGCCTTGGCGCAGCGGAGTGGATTAATAGGGGCATGCTGGCTGCTTGCATACGTATGATATGGTACATGTTACGCTAGTAGTATGGCCTTCATATGGCCTCCTGCATAGATGTTGCTAAACGCACCACACCCACCTGAAGGCACAGGCAGCCTTCTGGGCCAAAGGAGCAACACCAACACCACATCCACCATTTAGTCCTGCTTTTGATTGAACCTGGGATGGGGAGGGGAGGAGGGGGGGAGGGGGAGGAGGAGATTTCCACCTGGGATGGCACAAAGGCTGATGATACATGTATATATATACCGTACTAGATATAAAATGAATGAATACATAAATAGATTAGTACCCGAACTGAAGCCCACATCTGGCCTGGCTCAAGAAGCCTTTCCACTACCTCCTAATGCTGTACCACATTAGCATATACTGTAGTAATATCTTGAGCGCCTTATCAATAACATACGCTACCATTAGCATGACAGACTGTCGGTAGCTGGTAATAACATAACAAGTCACAATGAACCAGACTTAAGATTATGGGTGTGAGTGCGAACGACGTTTCACCCAGCCCCTCTGCCCAGCACACCGCATCTCCTGATTGCAGTCAAACACACCATAGTCAGCATCTCTGCTGCATTTCTGTGCAGCCGGCACGACCTCTTTCCGAATCATCACTCCTTTGAATGCCAACGCTACCGTTCCCAACCCCAGAGTCATCCGGCATGAGGAAAAGGTCATCCAAGCATGCATCTGGAACGGACGCATGCATGCATGAGTCCATGGAGCAACAGCTCGTGCTCCCCACAGTCATACCCTTGCTGTCAACCCTATTCAGTTGGCATGTGTCGGTGTGACTACCACCATCCTGGAGGCTTGACTGTGCACCCGTGCTCGTGAGTGCATGTGTTGTTCAATCAGGAATTCTTCTCTGGGACCCTGCGCTTGCATGCGGGCCATGCAGAGTAGTGTGGCCTGTAGGAAGGCCGGTCAGCTTGGGAGGGCCGGGTATGGGAGTGCTGCTGCTTCGGCAGGGACCGGCGTTGCACGCATAATCTGCCACGTAAGCACCTGGCTGCTGCTGTTGCCGCTGTTGCTGTGGCGGCTGTGGCTGCTGCTGCTGACGATTCGGCTCTAACTGCTGCTGCTGCTGCTGCTGCTGCTGATTATGATGATATGGCTCCAACAGCTGCTGCTGCTCCAGTGGAATTTACTGATACTGGTAGGGCTGCTGCTGCTGCCGCTGCTCCAGTTGAAGATGCTGCTGCTGCTGCTGGTGCTGGGAACAATGCAGAAGGGAGTAACACAATTCATCAGCTGCAGTCTGCTTATCACATGCCGTGTTTGGCTTGACGTCCCATGCATCGCAAGCCGCCCAACGATCTCTATCACATGCAGCTATGCCATCCATATCAGCTTGTTCCACCAAAAGACACAACGTACCAGCACCAGGGTTACAGCTACAGGTGGTAACCCCAGGATTGGTGGTGGTTACACGGGAAGTTGCCAGTATCGGTGGGGTTGAGACAGGGATGAGTGGTGGTGAGCTGTCAGTAGTGAGGAGAGGTTGACATGACCAGCTGTACTCAACCGGCTCGATTCTCCTGGGGACTTGTTGATAGCTGGTGGCTGCTGCGACATAGCCGAATGCACTGGTGTCTGCACTTTGCAGCATCGCATTTTGACTCTCAAAAGGGAGCAGGTTGGCAGTAGGGCCTGCAGCGTGAGGTTCACACATTGTTACGCCAATGGTGGTTACGACAGTGGTGGTTATGCCGCTGGTGGTTACACCAGTGGTGGTTGTTGGAGTCTCCTGGGAAAGATCCGTGCAGAGGAACATTTGGGGCGTCTGAGGCTGTGGTTGTTGATGCAGTTGCTGATCCTGATGCTGGTCTTGATGCTGATGTTGATGCTAATGTTGATGCTGTTCTTGATGCTGATGTTGATGCTGATGCTGATGCTGGTCTTGAAGCTGATGTTGATGCTGATGTTGGTCTTGATGCTGATGTTGATGCTGATGCTGATGCTGGTCTTGATGCTGATGTTGATGCTGATGCTGATGCTGGTCTTGATGCTGATGTTGATGTTGATGCTGATGCTGGTCTTGATGCTGATGTTGATGCTGCTGATGATGCTGGTCTTGATGCTGATGCTGCTGCTGATGCTGCTGTTGATGCTGCTGCTGATGCGGCGGCGGCGGTGACTTTTGTTGCTGCTGCAGGTGGCGCTGCTGTTGCTGTTGATAGTGGTACGGCTCGTGTTGCTGCGGTTGACAGTGGTACAGCTGGTGTTGCTGTGGTTGATAGTGGTACTGTTGGTGTTGCTGCTGATGTGGCTGTGGCTGATGCTGCCACGGCTCTGTTCTGGGCTGCGGCTGGTGGTACTGCAGAATTTGCTGCTGCTGCGGTTGCTCCTGCTGGTGACGCCAGCGCTCCTGGAAACCCACGCAATTAGAAGCATGCGGTTGTTGGTTCCCATGCGTGGAGGCTGATGGATCCTGAACCATGGGACGAGCTTGATCAGTTCCTGTATACATTGAGTCGTTGACTCGATTGAATGAAGGCTGGGAAGCGTGTGGCGCTTCGCGAGCCATGCGGGAGCGTGCAGGATCTAGCAGCGGAGGAAATGGAGGAGGAGGAGGCGTGGAACTATCAGAAGGGTGACACGGCAGATATAACTTTTTGAAAGGCAATTAAGGAGGAGCGTTAAAAGGCTGCGTTTGAGAATCTGATAAAGGGACTGGTCGGATGCTGAGGCCGGGGAAGGGGATGGTGGCTCCACATGTCAAAGAACGTGTGGCATCCTGATTACAGCTCATATCCGGAAGGAAGGTCGTAGTGAAGGGGGGAAGCGTAGTAGCAGCAGGGATACAGGTTGTAGCACCAACGGGAGTGCTGGTTATAGCAGGATGAGAAAGAAGCTAGAGCACAGGTTGTAACAGATGCACTGGTTGTGAGAGGACCACAGGATGTAGCAGGATAGAATGGTGATGCAGAAGGAGGGAATGGTGATGTAGCAGGAGGGAGTGGTGATCTAGCAGGAGGGAGTGGTGATGTCGCAGGAGGGAATGGTGATGTAGCAGGAGGGAATGATGATGTAGCAGGAGAAAATGATGATGTAGCTGATGACTGGCTCAAAGGAGGAGTGGAAGATATAGCAGGAAAGGGAAGCGCAGCAGGAGCAGGAGCACAGGTTGTAGCGGCAGCAGCAGGAGGACATGTGCAGGCTGTAGCAGATGTGCAGGCTGCAACAGGAGGCGATGCAGACACACAGGCTGTAGCAGTCTCACCTGCTGCAGCAGGAGGCGATGCAGAAGCAGGGGTCCATGCTGTAGCAGCAGGACCGGGAGCAACAGGAGCGAGAGTTGTAGCGGAAGCGCAAGTCTCAGCAGCAGGGCAGGGGGAAGAGGAGCGAAGGAGGCCAGTTGTAGAAGCATCGGGAGGTGGCGGCGGGTGGTTGTGTGAGCCGTGGTATACTGTCCTCACCACCACACGCATCTCAGTCCTTGGCATCTCCACACTGTCAGTCACCTCCTCATCTTTCCACACTCCTACTGCAGCTGCAGCCCCTGTAGCAGTGCTGCCTCTAAATGTGGCCTTTGAGTTGGTTCCTGCGCCATGATGCCTCAGCCCGGAGGTGCTGTTTGAGCGGCGCTGCCTGGCCTCTCCAGCAACGCGGTCTTCCGTCTTCTTTGCCAGGCAGCCTGTCATTGGCTTCGACGCGCACACGAAGTACAGCCTGCATGCACCAACGGATGTTGTTGCAGCATGAGATTAGAAGACTCAGAAAAGAACGATGACATCTGTCCCACATTCGTTGCAGAAGGACATCTTGCCAAACTGAGAGGCGGCGCTGCTAATACTACTAGCAAAATGTCAGTTGCAACTGCTACTACTGCTGCTACTACTGCCAGTACTGGTAGGCCTTTTTGTCAGCAAATAGCCTACTGTGGGACACATGTCAGAAACAAGAAGTGTTGAACTAGAAAGTTGTTGGAGTACAAGTAGGAAACCCTAGTGAAATGTACCCCCTAAAGGCTAACCCACTGTAGCCTACACAACAAAAACATATATAATGTTTGACACACCCCCATAGGCTAAGTGGGGGAGAACAAGGGGTCACAGGACCAGTCAAGAAAACCAAAGCAAGCTCAGGGTGGATCACAATGTCACCACACACTCTGAGCACAAGCAAAGGACCACAAGGCCAGTTCACATGCAGAGGCATATATATAGTACAAACATCATAGTGATCTATGTCTAGCAAGTATGCAGGTATAGATATATACATCACAGTACAGGCAAGGTCTACAACAAGTGAGGAAAAGTGAGCACAAGTCCTAGCAAAGTGCAGAAACGCTGATGATCACCAGACTGAAGTGCCTTGGTGAATATATCAGCAGTGTTGGCCTGAGAGGCCACAAAACGCAGACGAAGCTGACCACGCTGCTGCAACTCTCGAGCCAGAAAGTAACGTAGATCGATGTGCTTCGTCCTGTGCTCCAGTCTGTGCTCCTCACACAAGGCAATGGCAGCCTTGTTGTCGACGTACAGCACTGGAGGAGAACGAGGCCGCTCTCCCAGGTCGGTCAGTAGGTAGGTGAGCCAGCGTAACTCCTGTGCAGCCATGGCTGTGGCGTAGATCTCAGCCTCACAACTGGAGCTGAGAACTGAAGACGAACGTGTAGAACGCCAAGAAACTGAGCCAGAGCCAAGGCTGAAGGTGTAACCCTGTGACGACCGCTGAGTAGCCTGGTCGTCAACCCAAGAAGCGTCTGAGTGCCCAGTGAGAACAACTGGGCTCCCTCCTCCAAGCACGAGCCCCATGCCCGATGTACTGCACAAGTAGCGCAATACCCTCTTTGCAGCATCCCAGTGCACCTTTCGGTGCCTGCCAGGAGCCACATAGCGGGCCAGAAGGCCAAGAGGGTATGCTAGGTCAGGACGAGTGCAAGTCATCAGGTACATGAGGCAACCAACTAGCTCTGGGTAAGGACCACTCGGCTCTACGGACTCATCCGAAGGCAGAGCTGAGAGCGAGTGACCTATAGCCAGAGGAGTGGCCTGTGCTGAGGACCAGGTGAAGCCGAAGCGCTGAAGGACCTGCTGCACCATGTGTGACTGAGTCAGTGTGATGGTGCGGCGTGCTCTGTCCCGGGTGATCTGCAAGCCAAGGTAGCTGCGCAGTTCATCCAGGTCTGTGCACGTGTGTCTCTTCTGCAGCTCGGACTTCACGTGGGCGAGAGCCTCAGTGTTAGCAGTGGCAAAGACCAAGTCGTCGACATACACGAGGATGTAGAACGGCGGCAGCGAAGTGTCGGTGCGCAAAAACAGTGACGGGTCAGCAGTAGAAGGCGTGAACCCAAGTGCCGCAAGAGTAGTCCTCAGTGTGTCGTGCCACTCACGTGGCGCCTGGCGGAGACCGTAGACCGGCTGCCGGAGGCTCCACTGGGTACCAAGAGGAAACGACCCAGTGAAGCCAGGAGGGCGGCGCAGCCAGATCTCCTCGTGCAGGCTGCCCTGCAAGAAAGCTGTGCTGAAGTCAAGAGAGTGAAGCTCGTAGTCACGCTGAGCAGAAACGTGCAGTAGCTCCCGAAGAGTGGTCATCTTCGGGGTGGGGGAGAATGTCTGAAAGAAGTCTACTCCCTCTCGCTGACTGAAGCCTCGAGCAACGTAACGAGCCTTGAAGACAGGCGGGGAACCCGGCGGCGGCTTCACCCTGAAAATCCACATGCCACTGACAATGTTCGCCCCAGGAGGGGGAACCTCGTCGACGTAAGTGCCAGTGGACTTCCAGGATGCCATCTCTGCATCCATGGCTGACTGCCACTGAGAGGAGTACTCACCCGCGATCGCCTCAGCGTAAGAGCGCGGGGTCGGGATGTCTGGAGCATCCGGGTCTCCTTCAGGGGCAATCAGCATGGACACGAGATGAGGCACAGCGGCTGCAAGACACTCAAGGTCCTCCTGTCTGTCCTCAAGGACGTCCGTGCCTAGAGCACACTCACCCCCGACGGACGGAGGACAGACAGACTCAGACTCAGCAACAAGACTGGCGGCGTAGTCTAGACGACAGTGAGCAGCAAAGTCGATAAGCTCAGCAACTAGGGCAGACGCAGCAGCAGACTCAAAGGAAGGGTCAGTGACAGCAGTGGCCAGGAGACGCATGATAGTAGGACTGGCCGGTCAGACTCCGGGTCAGCAAGAGCAGGAAGAGAGGACGCAAGAGGAGACGGCAGAGGGACACGCTGTGGGGCAGTGGAAGGACGCAGAGTCATAGAGTGTGTGCCAGGGACAGGTGGAGGACGCTCACGCGGAACACGACGACCAGTGCGAGTAGCACGAACAGGTGACACAAGACGAGACACAGGTGACACAGGACGGGACTCAGGCTCACGACGCTCTGTAAGACCGCCTGTCGGACCAGTGTAGGGAGAAGGACCAGGAAGTGGCGAGGCAGGCGGTAGCTATGACTGCGACTGGACAGGCGGAGGACACTCTAAGGAGGGAGGAGGACTAGGAGGAGGCAGCTGACCAAGAACCTGCTGAAGGAGCGGAACGAAGTACGGCCGCGGCCGTGAAGTGCCCCCAGAAGCAGCAGAGACAGCACCAGAACCTCCAGCCGAACCAGCGCCAGCAGCACCTCCAGCAGCTCCAGTACCTCCAGCAGCACCAGCAGCACCTCCAGCAGCTCCAGCACCAGCAGCACCTCCAGCAGCTCCAGAACCTCCTGCCGAACCAGCAGCACCAGCACCAGCAGTACCTCCAGCAGCTCCAGGACCTCCAGTAGCAGCAGGGCCTCCAGCTGGCGGTACCTCAACGCCAGGAGCTCCACTCCAGAGGCTGCAGCGCCGAGCGTACCACTCACGCAACTGCTGTGAAGAGGGAGCGCCACCAGGCGCAGCACGGTCAGTCTCAAAACTCCCAGCCTCAGCTCCTCTAGGCTCAGCACTCCCAGTCGCAGCACCCCCAGGCTCAGCACCTCCAGGCTCAGCTCCCGCAGTCTCCACACCCCCAGGCTCAGCACCCCCAGTCTCCGCACCCCCAGGCTCAGCACCCCCAGTCTTAGTACCCCCAGACCCAGCACCACCAGGCTCAGCACGCTCAGCACCTCGCGCAGGACCAGAGTCAACAGCTACCTCGACAGGCTCGACCGGGTCTACCTGGGAAACACCTGAGGGAGCAGCACCCTGGGGAGGGAAGGGGTCTACCGACGGGACACCTGGGGTGAGGAAGAGCGGCGGGGGGGGGAGCGGGGCAGTGCGGTAGGGGAAGAGACGGTAAAAGGGTACCGACTCGTCAAAGGTGACGTCCTGAGAGGCAAAGACACGACGCGAGGTGGGGTGGTAAAAATGCCAGCCAGGCGCGTCAGGGACAAGGCCAAGGAAGACGCAGGGAACGGCATGGGACGAGAGCTTGTCCGCGGACGTATCGCGGACAAAGGCTCGACATCCCCAGACTCGGAACACCGACGCATCGCCAACCTCCCCCGTCCAACGCAGGGTAGGCGAGGTCTCCGGAACAGAGACACGGGGCCAGAGGTTGAGTTGATGCGCGGCGTACTGCACTGCAAACGGCCACAGGAAATGGGGGGCAGCCGCATGGATCATGGAGGTACGAGCGACCTCCATGACAAGACCAATGCGGCGCTCAGCAACCCCATTCTGCTGCGGAGAGGCCGGGAGAGTGAACGTCTGGCGGATGCCATGCTCCGCACAGTAGGCTGCCAAGAGGTCAGAGGAAAACTCGCCACCTCTGTCAGAGTGCAGACGTAGGACAGGAAAGTCCGACTGGAACCGCTCACGGAGCTGGAGACGAGCAGCGCGGATCCAGGGGATCAAGACATCAGGGACCTCACCCTTGGTACGCAAGGGGAAGACCGTGGTGTAACGCGTGTAGTCGTCGACGACCAGCAGAAAGTACCGCTCGTGGCCCTGTCCCCGGACGCGGGCGGGGCCCCACACGTCCAGGTGGAGAGTCTGCAGGGGAGCCGCTGTGGGAGGGAACGAGGAAGAGTGAGGAGCGGCGCGCTGCCGCCCCTCGACACAGGGAAGACAGGGAGGAGCAGGCGAGGGTGGTAGGGGAGGGAGAACCCTGGGAAGACCAGAGACAAGGTACCTGGAGTGCATGCCGCGAAGGCGCTGCACTGACGGGTGACCAAGGCGGTGGTGCCAGAGAACAGTCCTGTGTGACAGGGAGCGACACGAGCAGGGGGCCGACAGCTGACCTGACGCAGACGCAGACGCAGCTACCTGAGGGGACTCAGTGGTCAGTGTGTACAAGTCCGACCCCGGCTGCCGAGTGAAGGTAGCCAGGTGACGACCCGTCCGGGCGCACGTGCAGTGCGTCACACGCTCGTAGGTCGGGGTGAACTGGTGAACACCCGCGTCCTAGAGCGCGGAACCCGCCACCAAGTTCGTAGAGAACGAGGGGAGGTAGAGGCCCGACAGCGTGCCAGACGGGACAGCAGGACAAGGGAGGGCAGTGGTGGAGGTCGCAAGGACCGGACCCCCTGAGGGGTCGGCCAGGGAGACAGCAACCGGTCTAGGGAGCTGCTCTAGGGCAGTGCGGTCGCGGAAGAAACAGCGGGAAGCACCTGAGTCCAGTGTGAAGGTGTGCAGTGCCTCAGTAGGTGCGGTACCAACAAACGTAGACGCACTAGCACCTAGGGCAGCAGCCTCACCAGGACCTAGAGCAGCATTCGCGCTAGCACCTAGAGCTGCAGCCTCACAGGTCCCAATACCCGGGTCGGGCGGTACACTCAGGTAACAGTCACCCTCAGCACTAATAGTCAATGCATACATAGCAGCAAGGATAGCATCATAATCAAGAGCAGAGGGCTGGTGTGAAACGGTTTGGGTCAACACAGTGGTCAACGTCACTCTACCTCCCTCTGCTATCATCTGCGGCCTCTTCTACTCCTGGTCCTCTGTAAGTCCAAACTAATCTGTTTGCTAAAAGCTGCTGCCACGCTAAGTCATGGCTCCTGTATGGGGCTCCATCGCCCTCTGCTGTCATCTGTGGCCTCTTCTACTTCTGGTCCTCTCTAAGTCTCAACTCAACCCCTCAACTCAACCCCTCAACTTAACCCCTCCTCCTCGAAACAAACCTCGCCTCCCTCTCTTTATTTCTCAATCTCTCCCCTTTTCTCCCACTCTCCGCCGCACGTCACAATCTCACTCCCACACTCCTTTCCCCTCTGCTTATCCCTCCCTTCCTCCCACTCTCCTCTCTCGCTGCCATCCCTCACAACAAACACCCTCTGCCATTCCTTTTCCATTCTTCCGATCCTCACACCCCCATCCCACCACCGCTCCAATCACAGAACGACACGTGTGCAGCGGTGGCAGACGGCTTTGAACTCACAGTGACAGACCTTGAGGCTCTAAACCCGGGCGTGAACTGCACCGGGAAGATCAAGAAGCTGCCTGCAGTGAACCAGCAGGTGCGTCAGTGCGTCTCCCTCAGTGTGTGTGCGGCTGGCATGGCTGACTTGCCTTCCACATCGCAGTGCTGCCCAGCTGGAAGCTCTGAACCTGGGCCTGCACTGCGTGCAAAGCTTCCCGCAGCAAACCAGCAGGTGTGGCCGAATGTTTAATGAATCACTGTGAACCACTGCGAACCATTGCCAACCTTTTTCAAACCGTTGCGAACCATCCTAATCAACCAACTCATTTCCTCCCTAACCTTCCACCCCTCCTTGTACGCGCAGTTCTACACAGTGCCGCTGGGTGACGAATGCAGGAGCATGGCACCCCAGTGTGTGTACCTCCCACCCATCATGAAGCGCTTCAACCTCTCCTTCTCTCCTCTCAGCCCCAGCCAGTGTGTGTGCCGGGGAACAAGTGTGTCGTCCCCTGGTCTAAGCTACACCTCTGTGTGTGTACCTCCCACCCACCCCTCTCCCTCTCCCACATGCCACCAGGTGTGTGTGCAGGAGGGCAACGGGGCAGACTTCCCCATGTGCACCCAGTTCTACACGGTGCTCCCGGGCGACGACTGCGACGCCATAATGAAGCGCTTCAAGCTGTCCCAGCTCTCCTTCTACGCCCTCAACCCCGGCCTCAGCTGCGCCGCGCTCTTCCCCTACCTCAGCGGTCCCGACGAGGACGGGGGCGACCAGGATGGGGGGTCTACGCTCAGCGGCACTCAGGTGAGGATGACTTCTGAGGCGCCTCAAAAGTCAGGATGGGGGGTTTTTGAGAGGCCTCAAAAGTCAGGATGGGGGGTCTACGCTCAGCAGCACTCAGGTGAGGATGAGGATAATCGAAAGGACTTTCCCGACCAGGTAGTCTGTTTCTAAGGCAGGGCAAGGCAGGGCAAGGCAGGGCAAGGCAGGGCAAGGCAGGGATCTGCACTCTCCTTGCACGCACCCAACGTGCCTTTCCTTCTTCCTCTTCTCCCCTTCTCACGTTGCCTTTTCCGCCATCTTGTACAGAACTCTTCCTCACCACCACCACCTGTTCCTCATAATGACTTTTGAGTCGACTCAAAAGTCTTCTCCCCTTCTCCTGTTGCCTTTTCCGCAATCTTGTACAGAACTCCTCCTCACCACCACCTGCTTCTCCCGCTGCTTCCCTCTCTGCAGGTGTGCATCTCAGGCTTTACAGTCAACGCCACCGGGCCTGCTCCTGCCCGCTCCCTGCGCACCCTCGACCCGCAAGGGACTCTGCAACACACACCCAACAAGCTTAACGGGTTCCGGAGGTTTGAGAGGCCCGAGAGGCCTGAGAAGCTCGAGAGGCTGGAGAACGCATGGGTGGCAAGAGAAACCCGGCTGTGGGAGGGACATCACCACCAGCAGCAGTTGCAGCAGCGGCAGCAGCGGGAGCGGCAGCAGCAGCAGCAGTCGTGGCAGCAGTGGATGCACGAGCTCTTCACTGAGATGGCGGCGTTGGGGCCTCACAGGAGCAGGCAGAAAGGGCTCTACCGGCCTGGCTTTAAAGGGGCTTCAGTGGCACTCCAAAAGAGGCTGCTAGCAACCACTAAAGGCAGGCGCACCCGCCCCAGATGCCTTGCGTATTACTATGTGCAGCGTGGGGATTTTTGTGCGCGCATCATATCGCTCAAGTTCCAGAACAGTGCGCGGAAGATGGCGGAGCTGAACAATGGCTATGTGTGCACGAATGATAGGTTGTATGTGGGAATGGCGCTTTGCACGCGCAAGTGACGTGAGGTAGGGTCGAGTTTGGCGATGTGGTGGACATATGCCATATTGGCGTTGTTTCGCAATGAATAAATGTGTATTGCGGCACCGCATATTTTCTGTACCAATTTGTACGCAATTACCACATATATCGCAATACCTTGCAGGAGATCAATTGACAGGTGAAGTACACAGATGGTACTGTCTGCATTGCTTGCTTTCGTCATGAGGTGTTGATTGTGCATATTGTTGGAAACAAGTAACTTAAACGCTTCTGAAGTATCGAAGTATCGACACGAAACGAAGCAGACTACAGTGAAGCAACACGAGTCAACAAAAGCAACCGCTGGAGGTTACGCGAAGGTCAAAGGTCGCTGACCCTTGACTCGACGAAAAATACAGTACGACAGCAAGGACACATAAATGACTCGATACTGAGCAGTTACCCGAGTCGGCACTGTATCGAACCGCAACAGCAAAAACAGTTAAAGTAGTGTTGGAATCACTGAACAGGAATGAATGAACTAGCAATGAAAAGAGTACAAGTACCTAACCCTAGAATTGTGTACCCCCTATAGGCTAACCCACTGTAGCCTAAACTAACACAACATATATAATGTTTGACACACCCCCATAGGCAAAGTGGGGGAGAACTAGGGGTCACAAGACCAGTCAAGGCAAAGCAAGGCAAAACAAGCTCAGGGTGGATCTCAAGGATACCACACAAATTCCGAGCACAAGCAAGTGGTCACAAGACCAGTTCACATGCAGGTTTATATATAGAGATCACAGTACAACAGACTCAAGAAGTAAGCAAGTGAGGTCCAGTAGGCACAAGGCCTAGAAGAGTGCAAAAGCGCTGATGGTCACAAGGCTGAAGCGCCTTGGTGAACACATCAGCAGTGTTGGCCTCAGAGGCCACGTAACGCAGGCGAAGCTGACCACGCTGCTGCAGCTCTCGAGCGAGGAAGTAACGCAGAGCAATATGCTTCGTTCTGTGCTCCAGTCTGTGCTCCTCACACAAGGCAATGGCTGCCTTGTTGTCGACGTACAGCACTGGAGGAGAACGAGGCTGCTCTCCAAGGTCGGTCAGCAAGTAGGTGAGCCAGCGTAGCTCCTGGGCCGCCATGGCTGTGGCGTAGATCTCAGCCTCACAACTGGAGCTGAGAACAGAAGAAGAGCGAGTAGAACGCCAAGAAACAGAACCAGAGCCAAGACTGAAGGAGTAACCCTGAGACGACCGCTGAGTAGCCTGGTCGTCTGCCCAAGAAGCGTCTGAGTGCCCAGTGAGAACAACTGGGACTCGCCCTCCAAGCACTAGCCCCATGCCCGACGTACTGCACAAGTAGCGCAACACCCTCTTAGCTGCATCCATGTGCTCCTTCCGGTGACGGCCGGGAGCGACATAGCGTGCAAGAATGCTGAGAGGGTATGCAAGGTCTGGTCGAGTGCAGGTCATCCGGTACATGAGGCAACCCACAAGCTCTGGATACGGGCCACTCGGCTCTACGGACTCATCCGAAGGCAGAGCTGAGAGCGAGTGACCGGTAGGCAGAGGAGTGGGCTGAGGCGAGGAGTACGTGAAGCGGAAGCGCTGAAGGACCTGCTGCACCATGTGTGACTGAGTCAAGGTGATGGTGCGGCGTGCTCTGTCCCGGGTGATCCGCAAGCCAAGATAGCTTGTCAGTTCACCCAGGTCTGTGCACGTGTGTCTCTTCTGCAGCTCCGACTTCACGTGGGCGAGTGCCACAGTGTCAGCAGTAGCAAAGACCAAGTCGTCGACGTACACAAGGACGTAGAACGGCGGCAGTGAGGTGTCGGTGCGTAGAAACAGCGACGGGTCAGCAGTAGAAGGCGCGAACCCAAGAGCCGCAAGCGTAGTCCTCAGTGTGTCGTGCCACTCACGAGGCGCCTGGCGGAGACCGTAGACTGGCCGTCGGAGGCTCCACTGGGTACCAGGAGGGAACGACCCAGTGAAGCCAGGTGGACGGCGCAGCCAGATCTCCTCGTGCAGGCTGCCCTGCAGGAAAGCAGTGCTGAAGTCAAGCGAGTGGAGCTCGTAGTCACGCTGAGCGGCGACGTGCAGCAGAACCCGAAGAGTGGTCATCTTCGGGGTCGGGGAGAAGGTCTGGAAGAAGTCAACTCCCTCGCGCTGACTGAAGCCTCGTGCAACGTAACGCGCCTTGAAGACAGGCGGAGAACCCGGCGGCCGCTTCACCCTGAAAATCCACATGCCACTGACGATGTTCGCCCCAGGCGGGGGAACCTCGTCGACGTAGGTGCCTGTGGACTTCCAGGAAGCCATCTCTGTGTCCATGGCTGACTGCCACTGAGAGGAGTAGGGACCGGCCATCGCCTCTGCGTAAGAGCGTGGGGTCGGGATGTCTGGTGCATCCGGGTCTCCCTCAGGGGCAACAAGCATGGACACGAGATGGGGCAAAGCGGCAGCAAAGCACTGGAACTCCTCCTGCCTGTCCTCAAGGACGTCAGTGCCAAGAGCACACTCACCCCCGACGGACGGAGGACAAACAGACTCAGACTCAGCAACTAGGCTGGCAGCGTAGTCTAGACGACAGCGAGCAGCAAAGTCGACAAGCTCAGCAACTAAGGCAGACGCAGCAGCAGACTCAAAGGAAGGGTCAGTGACAACAGTGGCCAGGAGACGCGTGACAGCAGGACTGGTAGCACGAAGAGAGTCTGACCCAGGGTCAGGAAGAGCAGGAAGAGAGGAAGCAGGAGGAGACGGCAGTGGGACACGCTGTGGAGCAGTGGACGGACGAAGCGCCATCCGGTGAGTGCCTGGGACAGCAGGAAGACGCTGACGCTGGACTCGACGACTAGAGAGAGCAGTGCGGACAGGCGACCCAGGACGAGACTCAGGCGACACAGGACGAGACGCAGGCTCACGCCGCTCAGTAAGACCTCCAGTCGGACCAGTGTAAGGAGCAGGACCAAGGAGAGAGGAGGCAGACGGTAACGCCGACTGCAGCTGGACAGGCTGAGGACACTCTAAGGAGGGAGGAGGAAAAGGAGGAGGAAGCTGACCAAGAACCTGCTGAAGGAGCGGAACAAAGTACGGCTGAGACCGAGCAGCGACACCAGAGCCAGCAGGGACACCCGCACCAGGGTCCGCAGCACCAGCAGCAGCTCCAGCGTCCACGTCCTCAGCACCAGCGGTAGCTCCAACGCCCGGGTCCTCAGCACCAGCAGTAGCTCCAACGCCTGGGTCCTCAGCACCAGCAGCAGCTCCAACGCCCGGGTCCTCAGCACCAGCAGCGGCTCCAACGCCCGGGTCCTCAGCACCAGCAGCAGCTCCAACGCCCGGGTCCTCAGCACCAGCAGCGGCTCCAACGCCCGGGTCCTCAGCACCAGCAGCAGCTCCAACGCCCGGGTCCTCAGCACCAGCAGCAGCTCCAACGCCCGGGTCCTCAGCACCAGCAGCAGCTCCAACAGCAGCGGGGTTCGTAACACGAGGCACGCCACTCCGAAGAGTGCAGCGCCGCTCGTACCACTCACGGATCCGCTCGCGGGAGGGGAGCTCCCGAACGGGAGAAGAAGTACTAGCACCAGTCCCAGTAGTACGTCCGGCTCGAGCGGTACCTCTCCGGAGGCTGCAGTACTCTAAGTACCACGCACGTAGCTGCTCCGAGGAGAGGGCTCCTCCAGGTGCAGGACTCCCAGACCTCGTACCTCCAGACGCAGAACCCCCAGACTCCGGACTCCGCAGCTCAGTACCACGAGGCTCCACCCCCCCAAGCTCAGCACCCTCAAGCTCCACACCCCCAGGCTCCACACCCCCAGGCTCCACACCCCCAGGCTCAGCACCCCCAGGCTCAGCACCCCAGCAGGACGAGAGTCGACAGCTACCTCAACAGGCTCAACCGGGTCTACCTGAGACACACCTGAGGGAGCGGCACCCTGAGGGGGGAGGGGGTCTGCAACAGCAGCACCTGGCGAGAGGAAGAGAGGCGGGGGGGGGAGCGGGGAAGTGCGGTAGGGGAAGAGGCGGTAGTAGGGGACGGACTCGTCAAAAGTGACGTCCTGGGAGGGCAAGACTCGGCGCGAGGTGGCGTGGTAAAACTGCCAACCAGACGCGTCCGGGACAAAGCCGAGGAAGACGCAGGGAACAGCACGGGAGGAGAGCTTGTCCGCAGACGAATCGCGGACAAAAGCTCGAGACCCCCAGACCCGGAAACGCGACGCATCGCCAACCTCCCCCGTCCACAGTAGCGTGGGCGAGGTCTCCGGCAAGGAGACACGGGGCCAGAGGTTGAGTTGATGCGCAGCGTACCGGACCGCAAACGGCCACAGAAAGTGGGGGGCAGCCGCATGGATCAAGGAGGTACGGGCGACCTCCATGACCAGGCCAATGCGGCGCTCCGCAACCCCATTCTGCTGTGGAGAAGCCGGAAGCGTGAACGACTGCTCAATGCCGTGCTCAGCACAGTAGGCTGCCAAGAGGTCGGAGGAGAACTCACCACCTCTGTCAGAGTGCAAGCGCAGGACAGGAAAGTCCGAGTGAAAACGCTCGCTGAGCTGGAGACGGGCT